CAATTTCTGTTAGCTAAACACACATCTATACCCTCAAAATCTGCAGTCATATATACATATCCATCTTGTAGACCAGATCAAATTCACTGCCTTTCACCTTTATGCTTAGACAATTCACAGCCACGAAAACAACTCATATCAGCCGCCTTTTGAAGTTCCTCGTTGTTGCTTGGTAAGTGCGAACCAGTATGCCAACCCCGATCCCAACTCCAAGACAGATTCCGAGGCCTATCCCTACACCAACCCTCACACCCGCATTGAACCACGATAGCTCACCATCTTCGCCATCTATGTATTCAGTTCTCCTCCAGTACATGTTGCTGTAATCTTCATCATTTTCTTGCTTGTAGTTTGTGTATTCGGCTGGCTGCAGATCATACAATGGGGGTTATAATAAGTTATAACCAGAAGCCTACCTAATTTTAAACCAGATAAAATGAAGAAATAATAATCTATAGAGCTAGTGATCAATATTTGATTACTAGCATTTATTGGAGAATCTCATTTATCAAATTGATCAGCAACATCTATCCAAGGTCTCATAGACTATGGACAAAATTCTTATAAGAAAAACTTGATACAAGTCATGAAGAAAACATTTAAATCAAATGGTCATGCCTGCCATAAAGATGTAAAAAGTTCTATCTAGCAAAGAGATGATTTCGGACTCATGAACACATAGCATGTCATGGACGCCATGGACAATACTACTAATCAACTGCTTTCTACTATAAATGAGAACCATTAATGCTGCTAAAGATATAAAAAAAATAAGGTTATGTAATTTCTTATTATTTTAAACTTTTAAAATAAGTATTTGTTTAACTAATTAATTAACAATAAGTAAGGACCACAGTCACTGAGTGAAAATATGGTACGGAAGATCAGAATTTAACCTATTGTTGGAAAAAGTTATTCCTTCAATTCCAGTCTTAGTACAATCAAACAGAAGATTTTTCCAACTTAATATGTTTCAAAGGCCTAACATTGTCTTACTCTGATGAATAAGTAGGAAGTGTTCTGTCCCCATTTAAGTCCAAGAGCAAATTATATAAGCGCTGACATGATAAGGACCAGAATCAGTGGGCCTCATGTATGGACACCAACCCTCCATGTGCCTCGGGGTAAGGCCATACGCAAATCAAGTTCTGGCACAGGGTGGATATATTATAGAATACAACAAAAAGGATAAAAGGGAAAAGGGAAAATGAGTACTACCCTATCACTTGAAAACGCTGTCCACCCGGCCCATACTTCACATGTCACTTTAAGATAAAAGGTTACGTTTTATTGTAGTCTGATGCCCTAAAACATTATTCTCTCGTAAGTATCTTTAGTTTCTGGTACCAAAAACATGTTTCAGGACTGGGAGCATATTAAAATGGAAGTGGGAATAAAATCTTGTATGTCACAGCGTTTTTGATCTTAGGAATTTCAAGTGAAGACTAGTTAATTAGTCAATAAGCTGAAAAAAAGTTGGCCCTTCAAGTTGTTCTCTTAACTGTGCTAAAGTGAAGGTGAACTGCCCTTATCTCACATGAAAGCTATGTAATA